CCTAATTGAATACACTGAACTCATGTATTTCTTTCAGTATTGATTTTGTTCCTTTAGCTTTATAAGGCAAGAATAACTCTCACAGTTCTCATATTCACAAGAATTTTCTCTGATGAAGGTGGAAGAATAGACGAGTGTTTAAAGAATCTCCATCTCCATGTCTGTGTGGTAGAAGCTTCTTTGTTAGAAGAATGTCCTCATTTTGCAAAAAGTGAATCATGGCTTACATGACTTTCAGAGCAATCACAGCATTGGTACCTGCAGTAGGAAATCGGTGGTGTGAAATATGATGGAGCTGTCTGACCGTACATGAAAGTGAGCTGCATGCAACTGGCTGTAGAGAGGAAGGTCTCCCTCACAGTGTATGCATTTACCGTCTTCCCACCCCACCAAAAAAGTGTACCCTAAACTCGGGGTAAACAATCCTAATTCTATTAACTGTTGTGCCAGGTAATTTCTCTTGTGGCTGTTGAAAGGCCATATGACCCACAGTTTACTTGCTGGCTCTATTTTCTGCTCATTGATAGGCGAAAAAGAGGCCCCGTAATTCACCCCAGTTGCTTACTGAAGGATATTTTAGGATATACTTGTCACCCTTTTGCTGTGGGTGCTAGTCATGACACTGTTGCTCTGGAGCCCCTTATTGGAATATACACACACACACATTTTATTAAACAATCTTTTGAGTGTGGCAATTACCAAGGTGAACTAATGGCAGAATCACCAATAGATGTTACATGCATCCCAAAGGAGACCAATGTAGTTAACTGAGTTAAAGACCATCTATAGGGTTTGCATCATGTACTCATGACAGTGAAAAATAGCACCTATTTAATACTGTATGTCCATTATTAGCATTGCAAAAATGATAATGCAATCGGATGAAGTTGATAGAGGTTTGTGAGTCTAGAGGAGAAAAAGAGAGAATTCCAAAGTGTTCTTTTGTTGTGAATCACAAATGCTAGAGAAGTTGACAGCAAAAAAAGGGGTATTGGGGGACAGACAAATACCTCTTGGATATGTATTTTTTTTATAATATCTCTATACTATATGCACAGCTCAGTGAATTAATTTACTTCTAATGGTTCACTAAGTTGTGACTACTGTAGAAATTATGGTAGCTCTATTTAAAAATGTTGGTACTGGGTCAAGAGCATATTTGAGTACCATGGAAGTTTTAAATAAGACAAACAAACAAAAGTTGATGTGCTTTCATGTAAATTTTGGATTAAATTTGATTACCTAATTAGGTCCTCAAAATCAATACAATTTTCAGGCTATTTTAAAAGATCATGTATTCTCCTCCCAGACCAAGATGAATGTTGAAACAGGATAGTGCTTCTATGACAGGATGATTTATTGTGACATTGAAGCAAATACAGGAACATAGGAATTGACAGACTGGATCAGAGTCAAGATACATGTAGTTCAGTATCCTGTCTCCAACAGTGGCCAGCACCAGATGCTTCAGAGAGAAGTGCAACTATCCGACAGTAGACAGTTGAGGAGTCATTTACAACCCATATTAGGTCTCATTCTCATCTCTAATAGAGATTGATTTAAGCCCTGAAGTATGAGGCTTAATAACCCTTCCACAACATTTTTATTATCTGTATATTCTATATGTCCATATAAATGTCCAAATTGTTTTAGAATCTTAAGTTCTTGGCCTCAATGACTTCCTGTGGCAGTGACTTCCACAGTTCAGTTATACATAGTTTGAAAAAAGTATTTCCTTTGATCATTTTAGAATTTCCCTCCTTTTAATTTCATTGACTGCCCCCTTGTTCTTGTGTTTTGAAACTGGGAGGACAGATGCTTCCAATCTACCTTCCCGATAGCATTCAATATTATATGTACTTTTGTCTTGTCCCATCTTATTCATCTTCTTTCTAAGGTAAACATTCCTAATCTTTTCCATCTCTCCTGCAATAATATGTATAGCAAGGCACACTCAAGGTGAAAATAAAAGCAATGATGAAAAGTTAAGATCTAGGTTCTAAAATGAGCCCCGTCTGATCTTATAATGATCCAGTAGCCCTTGCGTCTCTGCCAGTTATCTCTAAGGTAAAGAGCCCAGGTTCCCAGTAAACCTCTTCACATATCTCGGAGCTGGCAGTAAACTCGTTTCTTTCCCCCATATTACCATACAGATTGAGGGAAGGTCTGCTTTACTCTTTTGTATTTTGTTGGGCATCTTATCCCTTTCTCACTCAAGTTTCTCTTTTTTCTTGCTTTTCACTGATAATTGCCCATTTCCCTCCCTCTCTGGTATGTCTCCTCCCAAGCCTCCCCCTGAGGCTAATCCCTGCGCTGTAAGAATTCCTGAGATTTATTACAAGTTCCCCTCACATCAAAATTGAACTTAGGTTAAAGAATGACACAAAATTCCACCCCTCCCTTGAGTGGCTGAAAGCTGAAGGAAAGTGTTTTGTTTCCTCGTATGCGCCTTTCTAGAATTATACCAGCATTCAGACTGATAGACTGTATTTGTGGTAAGGCCATAATGACCATTTTGGCAAAAAACAATTGTGCAGGGGCAATACAAGATGTCTTAGAGACTAGGATTTTATTTTTTATTAGAAAGAGCATTAGGCGGTCATAGGTCACATTTTAGATCTGAATTTTGAGATGGGATTGAGTATGGTAAGCGAAGCTCTCTTTATTGGTTTAATGTTTAATAGTACTGTTACAGACCATCATTACACAAAACTCTGGGCATTTATGGGTGTCATTTTAAAAAAATGCTTGTGATAATTGAATTTTCCACAGTATGTAGATTTATATGTGTAATATGCACGTGCGCACACACACACATTGATATTCTTTTTTCTTCAGACACAAAGATGGATCTGTAAGCAAATCAGAATAATAATTTTACTTTCATAAACTTGATCAAAAGCAATCAGACAAAATGTGTTTTGGCTGCTGAGTAACAAATCTAAATGTTCTAAATGATGCACTAGGTTGACTCACTATTGACAGCATCATGAAAGCAACAAGCACATTGTAGAAACATTCCATTAAAGTTTCTTTGTAATAGAAAAGAAAATCTCTCAAACTGACAGCTATTTATTTTCTGATGTCTATGATTTCCATGTCATGTTTTCTCAGTTTACTAAATCTAGGAGATTTCATTTCTCTTCATTGTGAAGAATCAGATTAGCTTGTTAAAATCCATTTGAATTCAGTGTTCTTTGTGTATCATCAACAGTGAATGTTCTGGAGCCTTCTTATTGTTGACAATGATTTTGTACATCTTTAAAAAAAGAGCTTGAGCTTCCTAAAATAAGTTAAATATAGGAATGACAAGTTTCAGAAATAAATAGTAAGTAACTGAGCAAAAAGCCACTACAAGAAGCTAGTTAATTGCACCATTATTTTCATATAATTTTTAAAATACTTTGTGTGTGTATAAGTATGTAGTATATTATGTCAAAACAAGACAAATTATGATTGAGTATTGATTACTTGTTAAAGCAACATAAATATAACAAGAACTGAATAATAAACTCCATCAACAAAGCCAGCACTGGAGTTTCAGCCTCACCCTGCTGTCAACCCAGATCCATATTGGACAAAGAAAAAAGATGGCCTTTGCAGCCTGACCTAAAGGTTAACAAAGCTGGGCTATTACAGGCTGGGAAGACCTGATTTCCAAAAGAATGGGTCCTAGTAGAGACCATCCTACAAGCAGCTTTCTGATTTTTAATACCATTGAAGCTGTAGTTCAGACCCCTTCATTGTCGGCAACTGTGGCCATGGTCTCATGAGGAAAGAGGTTGTCTTGTTGGGCTTGTCTACATAGTGAGTTACTGGGTCTCACGCCAGGGTGTAAACCTATAGTGCACAAGGTTCGACACAGTAACTTGCCACATGGACACTGCTATGGTACAGTGAAAGTCTTGGAGTGCAGTTTGGCATAGCAGTGACCACAGGGGACTTGACTGCATGGCACATTTTTGCACTGTAAATTCACATCTTGACATAAAGCTCAGTAACTGAGGGTGTAGATAAGTGTGTGCCGACAGACAGGGCCGGCTTTAGGCCAATTCCCCCGATTTCCCTGAATCAGGCCCCGCGCCCGTGCCTAAGAGGGCCCCACGCCCTAAAGAAGAGTGCCTAACTTAGGCGCCTTTTTAATTTTACTCACCCAGCAGTGGTCTGGGTCTTCGGCACCACATCCTTCACCCACTCCGGGCATTTCGACAGCGGGTCCTTCAGTGCCGCGTGAAGGACCCGGACCGCCACCGGGTATTCGAATCGGGCCCCGCACTTCCTAAAGCTGGCCCTGCCGACAGATCCCAGTCATTAGCGGGCAGGATTGAACCAGGGACCTCTGGAGCTTAGTGCGTGACCCTCTACCGCATGAGCTAAAAGCCGACTAACAGCCAACTGTTAGCTAAGGGTGTAGAGCAGACTCATTTTTATCTCTCTTTAAGTGGTCTCGGTGCCACTAGATGGGACAGAACACCACACCCAGAAGGTGTGTGGTTACACAAGCACTTAGTGTAGGTCACAGGTCAACTTATATTAATGATTACATTTTTAAAGATAAAAATTTTCTGTGGCCTGCTGAGTATGTAACAAGTCTTTGAACAGATTACAGTTAAACTAAATGCTACATCCTGGAATTTGTACATGAAACAGAACAATTAGTTTTTATGGGTTTTAACAAGAATTTGATCAAGGGTCAAAACTAGCTATTTCTGCCAGAAAACATGGTGTTTCATGATGAAATACAAGGAAGGAAAAAAATCACAAATGTTCATGTTTCCCAAAGGTACATGAAATGGATCCATAGTCTTTGCTTTAACACACCCTCCATTCCCCCAAAAGCTGACAAACAAAAGGCAAAACTGACTAATGCTTGACTTTTCACAGACCAGGGGAAGAGTGATATTTTTAATTTGTTTCACAGCAGAGCTCTAATCATACATAGTAGTAAGATATCATGTAAAATGCAAATATTTGGCTCACTATTTTATCTTTCCCTGCAGACCTCAACTGCCACTGTTAATGTGGTGGTGACAGATGTAAATGACAATGGACCAGTCTTTGATCCCTTTCTACCTAAAAATCTATCTGTACAAGAAGAGGAAGTGAATGCTTTTGTTGGGCAAGTGAGGGTAAGTTAATCACGGTGTGCTTGAAGATCACAGTAAAAATGTTAGAGACTATGAAGCATAGAATTATTTTAGTTTAGAAGTTAAATAGTCGGCAGTATAAATATACTGTGCTTTTTGTCTTTAAGTAGAAAAGCTTACAAATTTTGCTTTACTTGTTTTAATTTAACAAAAAGAACGAGGAGTACTTGTGGCACTTTAGAGATTAACAAATTAAGGTAGTCTCGTTAGAGCTGGTATGGCAACACCCATTTTTTCCTGTTCTCTGTGTATATATATCTTCCTACTGTGTTTTCCACTGCATGCATCCAATGAAGTGGGTTTTAGCCCACGAAAGCTTATGACCGAATAAATTTGTCTCTAAAGTGCCACAAGTACTCCCCGTTCTTTTTGCTGATACAGACTAACACGGCTACCACTCTGAAACTTGTTAATTTAGTTTTCTTTATTTTTAATTCTGCTATGAGCTGAAGGGAATTATTTATTTATACAGCATTTAAAATAAATTTGTGTATTTTCAGAAACATCTTTTAGTAATGTCTCATCATGATGCACTTACATATCATGCCATACTGTATACATTTTCATACTTATTTCTTTATTTTATGGACATTTGCCAATGTTCATATTTGTATAATTCACTATGAATAGTTAATCAGTATTAGCCCCAAAGTCTTATTGAAAATGTGGTGACCCATTTCCACTGAGAAGGTATGGAGTAAATTTTTTTATTAAATGATAACTTTGGAGCTTCCAATTCAGTTCTGTAGTGAAACTAGAAGCAAGAGCAACTTGAAACTAACCAGGCTACCACTGTTAACGAGAAACCTTAATGTTAATGGAATTGAATATCGTCGCAAGACCACAGTCTCCTGCTGCTATAACAGTTAATTTCTATTCTACCAAATGATTGATGTTTCACATACACAAATTGCTAAGATTAGTGAGGGGGAAAAAAGCAATTAGAAATCTTTTAATTTGATCTAAATAAATTGTGTTGATGTTGTAAAATTAGTTTTTGAGTCCTGCTTACATTTGGAATCTTTAGTAGTAGTAATTTTAAGCTGTTTATTTTTTTTATAATATTTTGTCACTCATGCTGCCAAATGAAGAATTTGTCACTCAAAATATTTTGTTATTTTGTGTTGTTTTCTTGGCAGTGCCCCAAGTGTCAGCAAGCTGGGGTATGTGGGTCAGGCTTTTGAACTAATGGACAGGAGTTAACACAACTTAAGAAAGAAAATCAAATCAAATCATGTTTTACTTTTACATCACTTCTTCTAAAACAATACCCAGCAAAACTCCTCTGCTCTTATGTGTCTTTGTTTTGGACAGTACATATGCCTGTGTTTTAGGTGAAGGCTGCTATTGTCTGTTTTCTGGTTCCATAAAAGAGCACAATAGTTTCTTAAAGCTATGTTAAATGAAGGGCAGTGCTTCCGCCCACTAGTTTCAATGATATTTCACACAATCCACAATACTATTTATTTTTCTACATCCTGATAAGGAAGTAAATGTAAAGCTCCCAACCAGAACTGAACTTTTAATATTATGACTGGTTGCCAAGAAGATGATACTCATATGACTGGCAGACTGTTTTTCTTTTTAATTATCTTAATCCTGCAAGTAAACCTTTCTCCCCTTTCCCCTCCCCCATAGGAGATGAAAGGGTTTTTAGTGAAAGCTCCTTCCCAAGTTTATAAATAACTGACGCATCATTTCTAAGAAAAATCTGACAATGTTAAAATTATAATAAGAGACTATAAAAAGTTGCTACCTCCCGTGATTACAGTATGATTCTAATTCATTTTAATCTTGATCTCAAAGCCCTCACTTCTGAGATAAGGTTCTAATAAATTTTACTTTGTTTCATCCAGTCCACAGATAAGGGATATAAGCAGGCATGGGAGAAATAACAGCCGTCACAAGAAAGGGGCAGAGGGGTAGAAAATACTGAATGAGGGGTAGAAGAGAGGGGATAGAACACAAAATGCCAGATGGAGGAACAGTTTGAAGCCTCAGTAGAGAGCTAGATAAAGTTTTCTGGAATGCTAGGGTAGAGCTAGTGAGCCAGGATACTGCTGGTCTTCATGCTGTATCGATGTGGGTTTGACTAGTTGTGATTCCTGTCAGATCGCTGCTGTTCTGCATGTATGAGAGAGGAAGAGGGTTGGCTTTTATCTGTACAAGTAAGATTTTGTGTACACCAAGAAAATTTGCTCCCTATAGTTAGTAATGAGGATGGGGCCAGCCCTTGTAAATAAGGTTACCATATTTCAGGTTCACTGCGAAGGGGAGGGGGCGAGGGAGAAGGGGGAGCTGAAGGACGGGTACAATTGGGGAGGTTGGAGGGGGTATCTGCAGCGGGGTACTCACTGGAGATTGGGGGCAGTATTATTCCATGTCACAGTGGCATGGTGGCTGGCACAAGCCCAGGATACAGTGCCGGTCATCAGTCAGTCCCTCTCTATGGGACTCCTCTCTGCAGGGTTGGGAGCCAGGGCCTGCGTAGGTATGATTCAGCAGCTGTGGCTGCAGGGGAATGGACCAATTGGCTGCCAATGCCAGAGAGGGAATCCAGTCAGGAAGTGGACCAATCGGGGCTCTCTGAGCTGCAGCATCTTTGAAAATATCCCAGACATTGCCTGTTGTTTGAAAAATCTGCCTGGACAGAGGATGGAGGTTCAAAAAAGAGGCAATGACCAGGAAAACCTAGCTGCATGGTAGCCATACTTGCAAATAGCTCCTCAAAAGGAGAAAGTGTTATGGAGAATGTATTCCTGCTTTAAAAAATAAAGCTTAGCAAAGATTCTGGTGACTGATTACAGGGAGCTCACATTTAATTTATTTATTCAAGAAGCTACATCATGGTTGCAAGGTTAAATCAAATCTTGGCTGCAGGGGTACACAAGGATATTCCCCGTGTCTCTTTTTCATATGCACACAAACCAACCAGCAGATGGGAAACTAAATTTACTTAGGGCTTGTCTACACAAACAATTTGTTTGCAGCAAGTGGGGATGTGACTCTATCCCGCACTAGCCTGCAAAGGAGTAACTGTCCATCTGGACCCTGCTGAAGCTCATTGACAGTAAGTTAATGTGCTTTCATCTAATAGTCTTTCAAGAAGGAATAGATCAAAGTGTATTAACAAACTGTTAATGCACATCAGCAGCATCCATGTGGATATTGAGTCCTCGTCAGGCTAGTGTAGTGTAGATTCACACCACAGCTTACTGAGAACCAGTTGTTCATGTAGACAAGACCTTAGATTGTAAATTGGCAGATTCTTCAACTTAATCCTCCTATTCAGGGACAACCTGCACCCTCCATCCCCATGCCTGATATGAGTCTGCAGCCACTCACTCTTTCCATCTTATTTAAAAAAACAAAACACAAAAAACTAACTTTACTGACACTACTTCTAACTTAGGCCCTGGACAGAGCATTCCAGGTGATTGTGCACCTGCCTATGGTGCCTATCACACATCCCCCCCTATGTCCTGTTTGTCCTTTTGCTCTGACCCCCTCACCTTCTCTTTTTCCTTTCATATTAAACAATTTCTTTTTAACACAGCTTTTAAGAAGACTTTTTTTTTCAGAAGTGAGATGTCTGTTTCTCCTTAACATTAACCATAATGGTGAGAACACTGATAACTAGAGCAGGGATTTTTCTGTCAGGTTGATTTTCTGATGGAAAATGCAGTTTCTGCAAAACTGAAAATTTCTGCAGGAAAATACTGATTTTTGCAAAAAAGATTTTTTGTTGAAGTGACCCAAAATGTTTAATTTGGAATTAGTTCAATGAAGTATTAAACTGCATTGCCTTATCAACTTATTGCAGTATGGGAGTTGGGAATATGGGAGTTGTAGTTCAGGCCACCATTCTTTCCTATATGCTGAGCTCCCTGGAGGACTACATTTCCCATAATGCAACACTCAGCATTGCATGTCATGTGAGTTGCATCACTCTGGTTGCATTATGGGAGATAAAGTTTGGCTAGGGAAACTGGCTCACCAGAAAGAATGAGAACATTAGACTCCTGAACTATACTCCCATATGGCAATAAGCCACAATGGGAAAATGCAGCATAATGTTGAAATGACTCATAAGAAAGCATTTCCCATCATTTCAGCTTACATATTTAAATTTGTGGAATGTTCATCAAAAATGTTAAAACAATACATTTCAAGATTTCCAAATATATATTTGTAACTTCTATTCTGTAAAAAAAATTCAGCTTTTCATCCCAAATTGGAATGGTAACAAATGTTGAAATGATGGAATTTCCCACACAATGTAAATTCTGAATTTTACTTGGTTGTATTGGAAATGCTTCCCTACTGCTTCTGTGGTCCCATATTGTTACACTATCATTGGTCCATAATTCTCTCCCCACTCTGGAGCATGATGCATCCATGATGGAAAATGTGGAGAGAGGAACTGATGGGCCAGTATGAGATCATAATAGCACTAGAGGAACATTATCAATAGAAGTGAGAATAGTAGCATCTGAGGAGTAATACATGTGCTTTCAGCATCACTGTTAGTATCAGAGTCATGGGAGCTCATAGTGTGCCTAAGGTGTACTTAAAAGTTTGCTAATGAGGCCTGGAGCATATAGGCCCAGATTTTTTAAGTTATTTAGCCATTGCTCTGTTTAGTGTTACAAGTCTCATTTTCAAAATTTAGGCACTTTTGAAAATGAGATTTAGGCTCCCAAGTCATGTAGGCCTTGCAATGCTGAGAGGAGCAATACATAAATACCTTTAAAAAACTTGGGTTTTATTGCCTACGGACCCTTAGAATTTTCCTTTATTTTCCACTCTCACTTCTCAATGGTCTGGCAGACAAGTCAAATATGCATTTAATTTAATTGTAGTAGGGTATATCAAGGAAGAGAATACCAAACATAAAAATGTTATTTGTTGAGGATTAACAAATCTATAAGGTTGTGACAAGGTATATAGGTCCTCCTTAAATTCCAGCATATAAGGGATTA